TACTATAGGAATAAGAAGCTACTAGGAACCAAGGGCATCGCTACTAGGAACAAGAAGCTACTATAGTAGCTAAGGGCATTACGTGGGCCGATGGGGCTGGGGTACCAGTCAACAGAAAAACACGACAAGTGGAGCCAATGCCCCTGGTGCGGCCTGGTGCGTGAAGAAAGCACCCAGAGATCAACACTCTTAAAACATCTTAAACACGAACCCCTTCAACCCATCCATGAATTCTATATTCTTCAGACCGGATTCCGGCCAAATGCCTTGCCGGCCGCCACGTCGCCAGCTGCCACTTGGAGCTCACCCGCGCCGAGTTGCGCAGACAATGCACGGGACCCAGCCGGTCACGGCGCAGTACTGGTAGTGGTCCAATGGGTGCAACATGGGTCCAATGGGTCCAATGGCCTTGATCTATTCTGTGTGTGTGTTTGTTCCCATCGACGCGGGTCGCGCGGCGCTGGACCATTGGTGACCCCGCGTCCGCGGAGGAAGCGTGAAGGAGGGGTCGGCTGGTTCCGCAGAGGTCCAAGGGCCAGGTGCTCGAAGTACCTTCCAACGGTAAGGTGTTTGGGGGTGGGTGCCAGGGTAGCCGATGTCGAAGCACCGAATCGCAGTCATAAGCTTGGCCTTTGGTTTAAAGAGTGGAGCCTTGTATCTTTTGCTGTCCCCTCGGACCATCCGCCCATCCTGTTTGGGTGTCCTGGCTGGACTACCCGACGACCACTATCTGGGATCTCCATTGGGCACCTGTTGCTTCCTTAGGGTTTCTTAGGGCATGGTTTGGGGCTTCACTTCTTTAGGGCGTTTTTGGGATGGTTTGGAGTTTCACTTCTTCAGGGTTTGTTTGGGCTTGGTTCAGGGGTTGACTTGTTTAGGCTTTGTTTGGGCTTGGTTTAGGGCTTGGCTTCTTTAGGTTTTTGTTTGGGCTTGCTTCAGGCCTTGACTTCATTAGGGTTTGTGTGGGCTTGCTTTAGGGCTTGACTTCTTAGTCTTAGGGTTTATTCAGGCCTGCTTCAGGGTTTGACTTCTTTAGAGTATGTAGGGGCTTGGTTTAAGGCTATATTTCCTGGTTTGGTTTGGGGCTGCTGTGGGTGTCGCTTCTTTACGGTTTCTGAGTGCTTGGTTGATGGGTGATGGTTTCAGCTAATTGTTATGTTCAACCTTTACCTGGGATGATTGAGCCCACTGACAACTCTTGTTCAAGTGAGTTGAACCCCCCAACCATTCTGTTTGGGGGTGAACTTGCGTCTAGAGTGTGCCGAAGGATGCGACACAGGATGGGACCCACAGAAGGTCGTTTCTGGAAGGCTCTTTGATGCTTTTAACCCTTGCCATTATGGGAGCGAAATTGAACCCAGGCCTGGTGAAACCAAGCTGCTTAATTTCTGGGTATGCGAGGAGAGCACAAAAACAAGGCATGTGCCGTGGGTGAACGCGTGCGCAAAATGGGGATGCATTCATTCTACTATGATGCATTAATCCAGCGGTGTTTGTCCGAAGAATGTTCGACGTTGCCAACGGGTCGCTTGTTGGGATAACTGGTTACAATCCTCCACCACGGAGATAGCAAGTTTGGCCCTTTGGTTGGCACTTCAAAAAGTGTAACTCGGTGTTCTACAAACAAAGTTAAAACATGTTAAAACATGTTAAAACAGATACGCGCGAGATCGAGATACGTTAAACATTATGTCGCCAACAACCACCCGTGTTGAGGCCAACTTCTACACGAGCACGGCCTGGTAGATGTGGATTGGACACAAGAGGCGGGGACGACCAGGGACGGGGGCCAGGGCGTGGTGGTTTTGCCGGGGTGAATGTATAGACATCTATAGACATAGTTGTAGACATACCAGGACCCACAAGGGGTGGTTAATGGACACCGCGAATCACCTCTTATGGGCTGTCAATAGACATCTTTTTGGTGTCCTGGTACATATAACATGATGGCAGATGAAAACTCCATGATGTTCCATTACATGCAGAGATTGGGGAACTCTTTCCCGTCACCTTTGTTTGGACACCGTGGAGAATCCGAGTCTCTTTTCGGTGTGAGGCCGAGCAAGCCATCCCCATCTCTGCGCTGTGGAAGCAGAACCTCGAGGACGATCGGACAGAACCCGCCGTCCTCGGAATGTGGTGGGGTTGACCGGGGCAGGGGACGGGGGGTCGACTGAGTGGTTTGGCTCGTTGGCCAGTCATGAAGGCGTTCTGCGCCATGAAGGCCACAGTGGCAGTGGCGGTCGTTTTTGTGGATATACTTGAGGTTCTTTACAACGAAGCGCCGAAAGACACGGGTCAAGTTGAACAGCCAAACCCCGGCTGATCCATTGGGAAACCAACTTTTGAAGGCTTGATGTTCCATTCGCTAACTATTCCGTGGCTGGCAGTAATGGTAGACTTTAGTCACTCAGGCTTCCATAAATAGAGGGATTGGGTGGACAGAGCCTTAGCACTCTTCAACTTGCTCAACTTCCTTGTGGATGGCCCACTGGACGGATCTCCGAACACACCAGTTACACCATGTTGTGCCACTGGTATGTTTCAGTGTTGAAATGAATATCTTGCGATGGTTTGTGCAATTTCTTGGATAACCCTACCAGTGGGTCCCGGTATCCATGACCCAGGATGTTTCTGTTTGTGGAATGACCCGTTCCATCATCTATTCATCTATTCACATCTATTCCATTCCTCAAGCGAAAGAGCTTCCCTGAGGGTGACACCTTTCCCCTACGTTTGCTGTGTCGTCCCGCTTCAGAAGCTCCAGGAGCTGGTCGGCCGCATCCGGCAGGTCACCTCCAAGATGCCGGCCCGGGGGACCGGCGTTTGGGGCATGGTGACACGTCGGTGAGAGGAATGGATCGAATTGGTGACACTTGTGTGTGTGTGTGTGTGTCAACCCCTGTGCCGAAGGGATCGCCACCACCTTCACCTTCACCACTGTTTCACAAGCAGGGGCGTGTGGCACTCCCGCCCTACCACACGCAACGAAGCTGTGGGCGAGAGTGGGAAGCAGGGCCTGATAAGCCCTGCGTACCTGCCGTTCTATCAAGCTGTGACTCCACTCTTCCTTTGGTTTGCTGTCATGGTGGTTCCATGATACTTCCCCTAAACCTTCCCTTTGCCGCGTTGTCTTGCAGCTGAGCCGCGCCGACCGATCGTTCTGCAGACTTGACCAACAACTTGTTGAAACACCTACAAGTCTTTCGGACTCTTCACCATGCAGTTCTGTCACCTTCCTTCCCAGCGTGGGAACTGAGTTAACTGAATACCAATGTCAGAGTGTGTATGAGTGTGTGTATCTTTCCATTGGGAGTGTCGTAGTGGCAGCCGCAATACTGTGTGGTGTTCGAGCCAATACTGTGAGCCCAATACTGTGGACTGCATCTATGTCGACCCCAAAACCCAGGCGACATGAACCCAATCCCAGACCATCCATGTATGACATATGTACCTACATTGGGGTGGTTTGGGTAGTCAATGTAGGCATATGTATATTCCAGGATGGTGCTTGGGATTGCATGGGTCTGGGTCCACTTATGGAAGATCGATGAACAGGGCTGTCGACAAACTGCAGGACCATCCACCACCAGGGTCATCTCGACCCCGTTCAGAACATAGCAATCCATGACGTTCATCCTAGCTCTAAAGTCATCACGGTCATGCCCCAAGAATCACACTTGCAATCACTTGCAAACTAGATCAAACTGGACACCCAGATCCTACTTGAGCCTTTCTAGCCGTTTCTTTTTGCAGCATACAAATCACGTGTGACTGAAATCACCGATTCGATCAAAAGCACCGTTGGGCTTTCCGTCTCCCTTAGCAGGAACCGCCCCTCCACCGGATCCTTCGCGCCTCGCGTGCCGCGCTTCAGCTCCCGTTGCGGCGGCCCATCAGCTTGAGCAGCACGCCTGGAGAGGCGCTGGGAGCAGGGCAGGGTGCACTGTTGGCGGGCTGGCGCTCCGGAGCGGGCGGGTGCTCTCCCCCAAAATGACCAAGTATGATCCAGTATGAGTATGAGGGAAATTGGATGTACTAGTACTTGATAACCATAGCAAATCACTGTAAATGCAAGAGATAGAACATGTTGTTGACCGCATCCTGGTGACTTCCACTTCTATAAGGAACCAGGGGTGATCAAGGTTTGCCAGGTTTGCGCTTTATAGTCTGGATCGAACCACAGGTGATCTGTCGGAAGGGGTAACTGGATCCACTGAGTGAGTCAGCGGACCATTCAGTGCATTGCGGGGAGATCTCAGGAATGTAACTGCAACTACATTGCCCTAGGGCTCCTGGCCCGTATCCTCAGGTTCGCTGGTATTCGACCCCTGGCACCCACCCCGGTCCCATCGAACCGAAACAGAGGTGGTTGGAGCCCTAGGGTTGTGTTCTCAACTGAGGACTCGATTTGGACCGATGTGGAAGGCCCTATCTAAGCTTGCGAAAACACCGCTGCCAAGATGCTTGAGCCATGCAATGTGACAGAATCATTCATTCTCAGCAAGGGAGTCTTAGGACAGGTGATTGCACTATAGAATCCAAGAGAAGCCTACAAGCTAGGTTTGGGAGGCCGACAAGCTCTGGAGCCTATCCGATACCGCCGATACAGCAGTCCGAGTCCGCGCCGATAGCGCTGCCCACTTTGAAAACATGAGGAGCACCCGTGGGGCCTGGGGCGCTAGTTGGGAGTATGTGACCTGGACAAGAACTTGCATATTGTGATGTTATAGATAAAATGCAATTAATCAAGCAGGCATCAAAGGCTATATGTACCCCTCGGTACCTATAGAGATATCATTACATATTCATTCTATAACTATAATCGCTCCAGATTCCAGATTCACATCAAACCAATGACTCCAGAGCTCCCCCTTTTTGACCACTTCTTCCGTCTTCCTGCATCATTCCCTCCACCTGAGCCTTGATTCGCCTTCCAGTGAGCTGTCCTGGCGATTGGTGGAACGACCACACTTTGGACCAACCATTGGACTTCCGGAAGGGTTCTCTCCAGACGTTCTATGCATTGTGCATCATAGAACCTCCAGATGTTGCACCATGGCTAAGTCATCCGCTTTCTGTCAACGAAGGTCACTTTCTTACCACCCCTATGCGACCGGGGCCTGACGAAAGTCATCACATGCGTCACTGGACGGCGTGTTTGGCCTACGAAAGAGATCTTCAGTGTATGTTGGTGGAATTGAATGTGGGCCCACTGAAGAAATGCATCAAAGATCCGGGTTTCTAAGGGGCAACTGACTGGGCAACTGCAGGATCAGTCCTGACATGGTTTGCATGTCCTGGGGCTTGGGAGCCGAGCCGGCCCGGACCAACGTCTTGGGGTTCTCAGCACTCTCAGTCACTCTCACCACAGCGCAAGCGCAAGCGCTCTCACCTGGTCAGCTCTGAATTCTGATCCGCCCTGATCCACCTTGGAACGGTCTCACGTCGGAACGGTCTCAGGAGTTGTGCGCTGGCCCGGCCAGCCTCATGCCCGTCCTTTGAGATGCCACGAATGGAGCCGAATCGGCGATTGGGATGTGGGAGACCTTCTAGACATAATATGTATTATATACCCTGAGCATCTGCTATTGATTAGGATCAATAGAGACATACATGTATACGTAAGTTATAATGCCTGGAACTCAGACATTATTGTGTGTACATAAATACCTGGAACCCAGACATGACCCCTCTTTGGATACGCAAACCACATATTTGGGTGCTTGGTGGTCCAAAATAGAGGTCACTCAGGCTCCTGGTATAATACTGTATATACCAGGTATGCTACAGGTGAGCTACGACAGCACCCCCAAATGGAGGGTGACCAGGAGTGCAACCATTTGTAGATCTTTTACTTATGTTCTTTTCAGTGTTAAGACATACAAACATGTTCCCTGTATGTCCTGACCCACCTGCTCCAACAGCAAGGGACTGTGATTTTTTCTGGGTACGAAGCGCACTCGCCCGCAAGTCCGCTCTCCAGTATAAGCGATTGGTTACCAGGTGAACTGGCCGTAGCTCAGGTGAACATGCACGGGTATGTTCTAGCGCTGACATTGCGAGCATGACCATTCGGGTGGGCATTATCCTATAGGATAATTATGGATAATTAGATGCTAAGGTTGAACAAGCCCTTTCTCCTGTCACCGGATTTTTGAACAAAACGTGCGATCCACTACAGTAAATCCGAGGGACTCCTGTCCAAACAGACGAACTCGAGAACTGGTTCGCGAGAGTTTTTGAGACAGAACATGTCAAGTCAATCGTCGCGAGATGAGTGGGAACACATGCCGACTCGCAGAAAAACCACAGACCGTTTTCTAGCGCAGCTCCCTAAAAGCACTCAAGGAGGGATCCACGGTTGCTTATCCATGTCATATCATTTCAATGGGCTCTTCTGTTTTGTTTGCAAACTTTTGGCTTTTTTGGTGAGTTGAGCTCCATACTTCAGTCTGTGGTGATCCATTCCAGCTGGAAGACCCAGAAGACCTACCTAACACATGGATGATTCTTGAACCCCCATTAGCAACTTGCTGTCTCGATTTGTGTTGTTTGCTGTTTTTCTCTCTTTTTTGGGGGATATTGACTGATCATCCCCCAAAAAGGAGCTGTTGGCTGCTTGATGGTGGTTGGTCATTGATGTGCCGAAGAGACGAATTCATCGGGGCGCTCTCCGTCTTTTCAGGAGCCTTCCACATCCACAAGGCGTTTCTCCCGCTGGGACCGCTGCGAGCCAGGAACGATTGAAGCCTCAACCATGGCAATATATAGAATACTATATACCTAGGGCTTCCAAGGGGTGCCCAATGGAGACCTTTAAGTACTGTGGAGATGTCCATTGGTGACCCCTTGGAAGCAGCTGGTACCTTCTATAGTTAGTACAACTATAGAGTTGTTTGGATCCCAAAGGAAGTTTGGAATCGGACGTCCCAAAAAAGCATACGTATACAATAGAGATTGAAACACACAATAGAGATCAAACTGTTCATCGGTCAACCAACGGGGCATCGACCATGAAGACATCGAACCGATGAAATCAGGTTTTGCTTGTCAGCCATGGTATGACCATGCATGACAATGCACAAGCTAGCAGCTAGGCCAAGGAAGGAGACAATTGAGACAAGAACCAGCTGCAACATCCTACCCATCTGAGGCACTTGCAACATCTACGTTCGCAGATTCGGTAAATGTGTTCAGTGGGAGAGCGGAGGTCATGGCCCCATAAAACCCATTGGATGGCCCGTGTTGTTGCTGTTGTTGTTGTTGTTGTTGTTGTTGTTGTTGATTTTTATACTCCTATTGTTTTGATCGAACACTGTGTTCCTATTGCTTTGTCCTATGTGTTTTCCGGAAACTGTGTGGGTTCTGTTGCTTTCCCATGTGTGTTTCTCATCATATTAATGTTCAACCCGTATTTTTCAAGGTTGCAACGGTTCTTGAAGCAGAAACGCATTCTTTCAGCCTTCGCCCTGCATCCTCCTGCAACCCCCTCTTTGCGCTCCCCCTCAAAGATCCTGAAAAATGGTGATCCCCACGGCCTCACTGGCCTCACGTTTAAAGCTATTTGGCTCCACGCTCTTTATTCAGACAATGTCATGTTGCAGAAGGGCATCCAGGTTCACAAAAACGAGAATCTTGAGCCGAAACTGTATGGCCTGTGTCTCTTGTTGAATGATTGACTGTCCTTTTTGTTTTTTTTGTTTACTTTCGTTGCTTGGTTCTTGTTTTCTTCTTCCTATTTCTATGCTTTCCTGTTTGATGTTGAAGCTGTTTTCTATTGTGCATTCAAAAGGTCTTCCTTAATTGTTATCATATGATACGCTTAAAAGTTGATCCCACCCAGTCGAAGTGCTACGCCAGTTGGCCCATAGGAGCTTTGGAGGGGACCTTGGACCCAGAACCTCTCCCCATCTTCAGGAACCAATCCACATGCTTCCCCAAGCACTTTCTAGACCAAAGAACATTTCCGTTCCAAAAGGTGGAGCACCACACCTCCACTGTCCCACTCCAAACAAACGTCCCCGACCCCCGGTCCCACCGTCCCCGGCCAATTTTTTTCGGGTTCAACACCTGCATCGCTGCCAGGCAGGTGCAACACCTGCGCAAGGTGGACGGCGGCCTTTTCGCCGATGCGCCGAAGTGGCCGATGGACACCAGCACCGCACCGGTCTTGCCCTCCAGGCACTGTATGCTAGTAACAAGTGCCACGCTAGTAGTAACAAGTGCCTTACTAGTAGTAACAAGAAGCTATTGGATACAATTTCTCTTTCATCTTTTCGTTTAGAGATGGAGAGACACCGGTGCTTTTCGTGGGACGGGTGGACTAGAGGAGAGATGGGAGGAGCAGAGGGGACTTGGAGTCTTGATGTGAAAGGGGGGCTTGGATCAATGTCAGACTTCCAAGTCACATGGCCCGGTCATACCCCATACAATCGCTTCTCGTTTGGTGTCTTTGGCTTGAGAGGACATACTTCTTAAACAAAGGCTGGTTGCAACCAACTATGTCATGGTCACCCCAAGAACACCTCCCACACGAAATCGTCCCTCATTTTTCCAAATGTTCAGGCTGGTCCTGCCGCATTTCATGTCCACCACGTCACCTGGTGTCTTCAGCACACACCCGGCACTCGCGCCGCAAGCGGCACTCGCGCCGGCAAGCGATGCGCAGGCACCGGTGTTTGAGCCGTTCCATTTGGTCCAACACCGTGGGCCTCTATGAGACCTACCCAGAGGTCTCGGAGGCCGGAACCGGTCGGAGCCGGAGCTGGACCGGAGGTCGATGTACGATCATTGTGGATCCAGATTGTGTTCCACAGAACGATAAAAGTCAACATACTATACATATTATGGCTTGTAGGGTAAGATACCATCACCGAGATGCCACAGCAAGAGGCCACAACAAAACTGCGGAGATCATATTTGTGCAGGGCCCAGCCACCCAGCTGGAGCCTCTCAGCGAGAAGTTCCCTGGCTTCGCTTCGTGCCCACTCCAACGGTCCGGTCAACCACCCGCACGAGCGAACCGCTTGATATCAAGCCGCCTGTTGGATCGGAGCGGGCTGAGACATGGTTTTGCAGATCGGGTGAGACATTTGTTGTCCCTACCTGGACCTGGAGTCTCAAAGTACCTCGGAAAATGGGTACAAGATGGTACAAGTACATACAAGTACCTGTTCATGTCTCATTTTCGGTACTTGAAGTAGGGTCCAGGTGGTGAATCCTTAGGGGGAAGTTCCTTTGTCGTTTCTATTGTGTTGTTATGTTGGTTTATGTTTTTTCCCGGTTCCTGAAGCACATCTAAGTAAGCGGCGATTATATAACTGCATCGATGGCTCGGCTGATGGCGAGATGCGTCTTCAAGAACGACCGATCGAAGCACCTCATCACATCGATCGAACTCATTCAGCAAGCGTGGACATGGAGAAAATGTAGAAATACCTAGGACCTATAGATGATGGAGTCTTTTTGTTGTTGTGTTCAGTTCTGTTCAGTTCTCGTGTATATTGTGTTGGCAGAATCATGTTCAGCAACTACTGTGCGTTCAGCTAGGTTTCAGCAAACTGTTGGCATCATCGCATTGCACTCGTCACCCGGTCTCTTCCGCTTCCACCGCGCGGGCCGGTCGAGGCGAAGTCCAGCTTCGTGGATCATCGCTTGTGCCTCGGTGCGCCAAGCGCGGTGCGGATCACCCGACCCGGGACCCGGGACCCGTCCGCTGGACCAGTGACCAAGCGACGCACCGTGCGGTGTCGGAACGAAGGTGACCATTTTGGAAAGGCCATGACTCCTCAGGTTCTCGAGTCAGACCACTCCTTGATCCGTCCGGATGTTCTTGGAAGACAGATGACCGCCATCCATCCATTCCATGAACATCCATGGCCCCGTTTTGCAAGACCACCCGTTTCATGCTGGTGTTTTCCGGAAACCGCCCCGCTGGCTTGGCTTGTCTCACTGCTAGTGCAAAGCCCAAGTCGAGAGAGTATACACACTGTGATGTTTCCGGACATACTTATATAAATGATCTTATAAATTGATTTTCATGAGATTCCATCATGAATCATGGACTCCCCACTCTTTGCTTTAAAGCAGCTGCATAAGCTCGGGTGTCCAAGCAGTGCATGCCCGCCGCTGCCGTCTACCCGTCTACACCACCTGTTTGGGACTGACATGGGCTGACACATTGACCCCTTTGCATGCCTTCCCCAATGTATGTGTATAAATATGCCAATCCCATGGAGTGTTTGAGATAAATCAAAGTGTCGAACACGTCACCTTCCTATACATCAACCAGTATGTGGATCGATAATGATCCATTTCGGAAACAGTTCTAGTTTGATCCCTGGCTGTGAGTCATTTCACCCAGGCACGCTGGTTGACCAGCGAACATGAACAATCCTGTTGTTTTTTCATGTTTTTGGTATATGTCGGCCTGTTTTGACATACCACAGTCACTAATGTCAACATCTGATTTATAAACAGGGCCCCCCCCCCCCACATGGTAGGTCAACAGGGTCAAGAAGGTCTGAGATACCACTCATGAGGTCCACCTCCCCTGAATTATCGGCTCAGGGAGCCATCGTAGTCGCAGTCGTCGTCGGTAGTAGGTAGTAGGTAGTAGGTAGTAGGTAGTAGGTAGTAGGTAGTAGGTAGTAGTAGGTAGTAGGTAGTAGTAGGTAGTAGGTAGTAGGTAGTAGGTAGTAGTAGGTAGTAGGTAGTAGGTAGTAGGTAGTAGTAGGTAGTAGGTAGTAGTAGGTAGTAGTAGGTAGTAGGTAGGTAGTAGGTAGTAGTAATACCTGGTTGTGGGCTCGGATTACCTGGGGGGGGGGTTCTGATGCCCAACTAGAAGATTAGGGGGGGAAATAGGCACGAATAATACTTATAATTTGGGCAATTTCTGGTGGGTTTGTGTCTTCGGATTCACTAGGGGAGGTTTATTAATCGTAACTTAACATTACAGGCTAACTAGAGGCCCCCTTTTTTAGGCGACGCACATCACACTCATGGGCTCAGAGCCAGACATGATGTCAACCCTTCTCCTCTTTGCTACCCTTCTCCCTACTCGTTTGGGGGGTGTCCTTCTGCCGCGCTGGCGCTGCTTATTCTAAAGCGCCGAGGAAGAAGTTTGGGCCGGTGAAGTGTTTCGTGACCTCGCCGGACCCCTTCAGCATCCATCGGGAAGAGACCTTCAAGCGTGGCACCCGAGCTCGCCGCGTGGGGTGGAGACCTTTTCAGCGGAGGGGTGAACCCACACCCCGTTTAGGCTCCAGTCGTGCCGAAACGAAACGCAGGTATGACTGGACCCTCCTGATCCTTTGGGTGCCACCCCAAAGACCTTCTTAGAAGGTACGACTGGACCATCTTGGAGCCCTATAGGCTAGGCATGGGATCTGGTGAGGAACCCACCCTTTTGTGGAGTCTTGCATGAGTCCTGGTTGGAGACCAAGAACGGGTCTTTAAGATATCTCTAACCCAAACCTCGATCACAATCATTCAACTTTCAAAATCGCACCGATAGGAGATATACCAACCACATACCAGGGCCCTTCAGTCAAAGGGTGGTTTATAGCCATCCCTTATACATAACTTCTATTAGGGGCTCTTAATAGACACCCCTTTGGGGGGGTCCTCATCTACTGGACCCGGCGGACCCCCCCACAGAAAAGGACCGGTCTAAACCGATCGGCCCCAGGTTTGGCAACAAGCAGATCATGCGCGTCGGGGCGCGGCCCAACGCTCCAAGCCTGAAGTGAGAAGCGGAACCCGCTGCACGGCTTGTTTTCGCAGATCTGAGGGGGTGAAATGATTGGCCTGAGAAAGGCAAGGAACAAACTGGCAGATCTGAGAACCCCAAATCACTTTCTTTTGGAACCCGTGTTCTTTGTGTGCCTGGTGTGATATTGATCGAAGCAACTTAAATTCGTATAGCCACTCCTTACTATATTAATATGTGGATTGTGGTTGATGAGTGTGCACGCCCAGAGTTGGGCGAACAATCAGAGTCTTTCACTGCCCCAGACTTCGCTGAATGCAGCGAGCCGCAGCTCAACACATCTATAGCTTTCCATCGGGGTCCAGAAAATGGAAGATAGCTTCAGAAATCATCAGAAATCCATGACGAGCTTCAGAAATGCATGACATCAATCCCATTACCAATCCACATGACAATCCACATGACCATGTCAATTGATTGGGTCTTCCCCTGATCTGATTCCTTTTGATCGCGATATGGTGGACACCGTGTGGACACCGTGCCCGGACCAGGCTGGCGGTTTGTATAGCAAAGCCCCAACAACCCATGGAACGGTTTTGTACGTGGGTGAATATTCAGAACATGGAATAGTGGTGCACTTTACCTTGGAAATCCCATTTGTATCTCGCCAGAGGTTTTGGGTCGGCTCAAAGATATCCAGATCCTGCGGTTATTTTTGGGGGTTAAATCTAACACCGACAATTCGAATGTGCTTTTGCTGGAAGAAATCCTGCACCACTTGGAATCATCTCCCAAAACAATGCGTAGCCTAGGGCTCCTGGCCTACCTCCTGGATGCGCTGCCACGGGGCTCCTGGGCTACGTAGCTTCAGACAGCCCACAAATGATCCACCAATTGGCATTCGATGATACTCCCGACATCATGGCCAGTCCGCAGCGTGGAACACCTGGACTCCGGATCCCCGAAAACACCTTGGATCTCCGATCTCCTGCTGGTCTTCTCGTGCCGTTGGGAAACACCGGCGAATGCCAAGCATCCGACCGGTCCGTTTCCGGCCGCTCCGTGGGTCGCTGTCCGAACGGCCGGCAGTCGACGCGAGCGGAAAGGACGGGTGGAGCGCGCGCGCCGAGAGGGTCGGGCGGGGAGGTGCTGAGGAGGGAGCACAAGTCCACCAATTCTGGGGGGAAAGCATGATGAGAAGTTAGGGAAGTTTCCCTTGAAGATGGATCAAGACATCTGAACTGGGTGAGTTGATGGGGAAGTGCGTATGTGTCATGTGAGATTTGGGAAGTGTGTTGTATTTATTCATGTTGAGTGGGAAAAGAACTGTTTTTGGATTTGTGTTGTTTTAAACATTGCTTCACGCTCACAAAAAGGGGAGTGCTATATAGGGACTCGAACAAAGCAATGGCTTCTGGCTTCTAGACAGGGCCTCGCGTGAGCACGTACGCGAGGCACTACGGTGGAAGAATGTGCAGGGAAGCCAAGATCCCATCCGCATGCAGTTTCGCTTTAGACTCTAAGACCATTCCAGCAGGTACATCCCCGCAAAACCGCTCTCATCTCTCATGTGTGTTTTCTTCTGATTCCTTTTCCATTCGTTCTGGGCCTACTTGGTCCGGCAGCAGATAGATATTTGGCAAAGCAGATGAAATCAGTATGTTCAGTGCTTTAACATGCTTTAACATGATAGACCAGAACATGCTTCTTCAGTGGAGACACATGATCAGTGCTTTTGACCTTCGTCTCGTGTCGGGAAGAAAGACGCCCTTCGCACGGTCGTCTTGGCAGGGCGAAGAGGACCGATTTCCTCCAGGGAGTTGACGGTACTCCTTCTGCCATCGCCTTGATCCTGGAGGTGCCGTTGGGCGGAGCGTCGACTCCAGCGTCCTATGCGTCGACTCCAGCGTCAGATGGGAGGATCGATGCCTTTTTTCCTGAAGACTCCCAAAGGTTGGGGGAAAGCAGCCGGTGTTTGTTTTGACGCAGCATCAACTGGTTTGATTGGTACTCTTGGTCAAATATTGCTAAAAAGAGCCCAGAGTCTGTTGGTGCTGGCACCTGGGTCCTTTCAAACTTCCCCCACATATGAAGGACCCAGCGAGTTCGGTCGACCAGGTGCTGTCGCTCGTTTCGCAGCGTTTCGCATGGCTGTCATGGTGTCCTGGATACGCAACAAAAGGGGGTTAACAAGTCGACGAAAAGGTCAAACCCTTAGTAAGCCTTAGTCAGTGCCTTAGTCCAGCCGAAAAGGTGACTCGTTTAAGGAATGATAGGCTCTTGGAACCTGTCAAAGGTGGGCAACCTGAAACAGTTTATGTATAACCTTGGACTCACAGAACCCCCAGAGTGTCTCATCATGACATCAAGAGGCCTGACAGTCTTGGTATCATTGCGCCTCGAATGCACCATGTGCCCCCCAGAAGCTTGCGGGGGGCACCTCAATTCGCTGGTAAAATATGAGAGGCTTCAGCATTTGGCGATCGGAGGACTGGACAGCATAGGGCTCGGACACTTAAGTACAGTAGTTAAAACAAACGCCGAACAGCATGCAAACGGTTCAGATCTATTACTGTAACGAGATGATACGTTCATAAATTCTCAGCAAATGTTCTTCAGAATAAAAGTATGATCCCCAAAGCTGGTTAGGTGATTGGTGGGCTGGCATGGTGCCTATACCATCATTGACAACAAACATTGGCACAGAACGGTATTCAGGCCCAAGATGTTGTCGAAGCAAGTTGCAGAAGAAACCCACCTAATACCCCGTCAGTGAAAAAATGGGGATCGGAGGTCACCCCATCATAAAGGATAAACACGAACATCCCTGTTCATGTTTAGTGGTGGGCTTATCTTGTATGACATATAGGTTTTGAGAGCCGCTCAGGTGGAAACAAACGAACAAAACAACAATATAGCTATATAGGCTACATTGGCCCTTGATGTTCCACGGATTTCGCGACGAAGTCTCCGTTCTTCCGCGACGATCGTCCGGGGAGGGCTTGTTTCCGAGACGAAACAGGTGGACAAGGCGGGCGAGGAGCAGGGCGAGATGGTGTTGACCGCCCTGGTGAAAGCTGGCCGTCTGGTGGTTGGCCAGCGTGGCGTCTCAGCGTGGCGTACACTCGTCACATCGCCCCCTTCAAGGCGATGTGACGCAGAGATGTTTGCTTTTAATTTGTACATGGACTCTAAAATATATATATCTAAAACAGACATTCAAAAACCTTCCCGTTTTGGATGGAAGAAAGCCTTCTTAACATATGTTTTGTTATATAATAGTTTGATATTACTTATATTATATGAAATGTTTTTTTTGTTTCGAGGTTTTGCTCCCGAAGTTCTAAAATGTGGATGATCTCCGAGTCTAAAAACTCAAGGGTGTCATAGCCAGGGGTCCCATCTCATCATATCCCATGACTCCATTTTGGAGAACATGTTTCATCACCTGTCAAGATTTGGTGGAGCAAAAACCCTGGTTGTGACGACGGATGTCCACCGTTTGTTGATTCTGGACGTCAACCACGGCACTGGTGTACCTCTCTCGGAAGAATCCTGGGAAGGAGACAGTCGAAGATGAGGGCGGCGCCAGGGCTATGGGCTATGGCTAGGGCGTGTCCCATTAATCATTACCAGCCATGAACAGTCGGTGGGAGATGATCACAATCTTTGTCGGCCTGCAACACAACGCCATCATCCGCCATCCTCCGCTTTTTTCATCCTTTTTTTCTGGCGCAGGTCATGGAAGATCGAATAGACCCAAGCCATGATATACATTCCCAGATGCTCCATGTATGCCATATAATATATGCCTACATTGGAGTGGTTTGGGGGGTCAATGTATGCATATATTTCCATACATGGAGTATATGGGATTGTTGGATGAGGTCTCCGGCCGGCCGAACCCCCCCCGAACACCTCGCCCACCCGGGCTGTTTCGGCTGGCTCCGCAGCCGTCGACTGCTTCGCCGGCAACGTGATGCGCCCAGGTTCTTTGTGGTGGGCACTTCCTTTGGCCGCATCACGTGCCTCGGAAGGTTGTTTTTTTTAGAAGAAAGCACTGGAATTGAACATAGACTCCCTGGAACTCACATGGAAGTTGAGAATGGCCCCGATTTCGGAAGACCATGAAATCCACTACAAACAGGTGGTTGTCCACTTCCATGTTAGTTCCAGGGAAAGTAATCAATCCTATTTTAAAAATTGGATAGTACATGTATTTTATGAACTATTATTAGATACGTGAAACTAACCGGAATCTTTAGTTTGGAGGGCCGTGGAAGAAGGGTGTCGAAGTGGAACCGCCACCTCCACAGCTCAGAGATGACAAGCTGTTGGTTAGAAGATTCCTCATTTGAGACCACACCTGTTGAGACCAGACATCTTCAGATGGGTCAAAGCCTGGAGGTGTTAGGAACACCAGACCAGGTGCTGTGGTGGAAGTGTTGAACATTTAGAGAAGCCTGCTAGATTTCCTGTTGATTGGTTGTAAAATGTTGTCAAGGGTAAGGTTCAGCCGCTTGAAAAAGATCATTTCAGCTGATGTTGGTGAAGTTTCGGTCGGGTTGAATTAAGGAGGCCAAAGATGTTGAAGGCCTGCACCGCACATACTGTAAATCGCGGAAGTGGAAGAGTCTTCAGCAGAACGCACTACTACATGAGTTGCTTGGACTCGACGCCGGTCGACCGGCAGCCGCCCAAACGGGAACGACGTCGGTGTCGAGTCCAGTCCGACGTAGCTGTTTTCTTCATTAAAGCTTTACCTCAGAAAGCCTTGCTGAGTCAGTACTGTCTGATGAAAGGGAATGTTTGAGTCAGGATCCTGCAGTTCGTTGTCTGTTGTGTCAGCTTCCTGCCTTTTTGTCAGCTTATTTGTTCTGCTTTGTGTCAACTTGGAAGTTGCGAACACATTGGAACATCTTGGAACATACCTCGGCCTTGACTCTGACCCTACCCCTTCAAAACAGTCGGTTTTTACATGTTACACTTGTAAACAGTACACCAAGTCCCCTCGTCTTCGACTCGTCTTCGACGCCAAACACCACCCAGGAACCTTTCGCTGGCCGCCGGCGTGGACCGAAACCGGCGGGGACCGAGCTGAGTGGACCAAAAGAGGGCGAAAAAGAGTCGAGCTTGACTATGAGGTATTCGAAGTACACCATGCTGTTTGTGAGTTGTGGTGTTGGAAGCATCAAAGATGAACATCTCTGAACTGGGTGACGTTTCATTGCCGCTTCCTAGAGGAGTCAGGGAGTTCTTTGTCCCACCACTACGCAGCGAAACCCTCTCGCGCGAGGCATTGGTCCAAGTGCGAGACCGCCACCGTGGGTGTGGCGGTGCAGCTGCCGCTCGGTTCCCCCCCGTGGCGGGATGTGTGAGAGAGCTGGTTTGGGTCCATGCCGGTAGGGTCGCTCCCAGCAATGGGTGTTTTTGGGAAGGAGATCCAGACCCCAAACGCACCAACATGACACTTTAAACATAATATATATATATAATGTTCTTAGTGAGAGGGAGGATTCCTGGAGGATTGTTTTCTCCAAGAATGTCCTTTGGGGTAGCTTATGGTAGAGCTTCGCATACCAGGGTCTGCCATAGTGTTCGATCTTAATTGGTAAGACCCGTCCCCCTAGCATCAGGAGTTCTGAATAGAATCACAACCACCAAAACTATCCAAAGGTATTGGTAGGAGTAGGAGTAGGAGTAGGAGTAGTAGCAGCAGTAGCAAGTAGTAATAGTAAGTAGTAAGTAGTAAGTAACTAAGTAGTTAGTAGTTAGTAGGTGGTAGTAGTAGTAGTTGTTGTTGTAGTTGTAGTTGTGGTAGTAGTAGTTGTGGTAGTAGTAGTTGTGGTAGTGGTAGTGTTGGTGGTAGTGGTAGTGGTAGTAGTGTTAGAAGTAGAAGTAGTAGTAGTAGCAGTAGTAGCAGTAGCAGTAGTAGCAAGTAGTAGCAAGTAGTAGTAAGTAGTAGTAAGTAGTAAGTAGTAGGTAATAGTAGGTAGTAGGTAGTAGGTAGTAGGTAGGTCGTAGGTGGTTGTAGTAGTAGTAGTAGTAGTAGTAGTAGTAGGTAGTAGGTAGTAGGTAGTAGGTAGTAGGTAGTAGGGAGTAGGGAGTAGGGAGTAGGCAGTAGGCAGTAGGCAGTAGGCAGTAGGTAGTATGTAAGTAAGTAAGTAAGTAAGTAAGTAAAGCAAAGTAAAGTAAAGTAAAGTAAAGGTAAAATAAGTAAAGTAAAGTAAAGTAAGTAAGTAAGTAAGTAAGTAAGTAATTAAGTAAGTAATAAAGTAAAGTAAGTAAGTAAGTAAGTAAGTAAGTAAGGAAGTAAGCAAGTAAGTAAGTAAGTAAGTAAATAAGTAAGTACTACTCAGTAGTAGTACGTAGTAGTAAGTAGTAGTACGTACTAGTAAGTACTAGTATGTAATAGTATGTAGTAGTAAGTAGTAGTAGGTAGAAAGAAACAAGCAACTTCTTTTTTATTCCCTTCCACTCTGCTAGCTGGATTTTGACATTAAGGGTTGCTGTTTCTGAAGGCGGCGGAAGTCTTGCAAAGCAGGGTTGCAATACTTGAATGTGTGTGTGTGTGTTTTTAATTCTTCCTCACAGATCAGATCCTGTTTCTGTTGCTGCTGTTATTGCTGCTGCTGCTGCTGTTGTTGTTGCTGCAGCGGTTCACTAGTTACTAGAACCATCGCAGTCAAAATCACCGTAAACGGACCCAACCAATGAACTTGTCCAGTGTCCTTACAAGGGGCTCCATAAGACCGAGAGCTGCCCCAAACTAGACCAAACAGTATGAAGAATGTCAATTTCACAATCCAAAAAAAAGAACACAATTAATAGTTTCTCCACCAAGTGGTTGTCAGTGTCCCCGTGTCTAGCTAGTTCTTGACATGCCCTTGCAACATACAGCCCAGGACCGGTGTGCGCACACGACTGGGTGGAGACTGCGCGGGGCCTTCTGGTTCGATCAGATCAAAGCTGGACCGTGGGTTCAATCCTTCGAAGCAGTAAGCCTCCGGAATCACACACCAAGCCTCAATAGTCATGCAGCCATGCAGCAAACCTCAACGGTCAAGCCTCAAACAGTTCGGGGATTGCATAGTTCGGGTTGTCTTGTCTCGGTTTGGACATGGGAAGACTGGGCAGGTGCCATGAGCATTGGACAGTTCCTCGAGTCGCCAACGTGCTTCTTCACGCCAAGAGACCCTAGACGATCCCGTTCGGATCCAGTCGTACCGAACCTCAGGTACGGTGGTTGTGTTCGACACCGTTATGTAGGTGCCAGGAGGGTCCAGTCGTACCGAACCTGAGAGGGTACGACTGGATCCCTAGAGGGTATCACCTCAATGGACAGGAACGCGTTCCGAACAACGACTTGAAACATCGACTCGACATCAGACTGATGCAGAGCCTTTGACTCATTGTCTTCCAGTTGTGTGAGAGCAGACTTTCCCAAACACAGCTAACTTTCGCTCACAGGACGTTCTTGTCCTGTACTAGTAGGTCTAGTGTAGAGGCCATGAAATCATTTGCGCAACTGTTTTCCTTTTGACCAAAGGAACATGGGACCTGTCGGTCTGTGGGTCAAACCAGGATACCGAGACGGCCCGAGCCGAGCCTGACGCCGTGGATCGAACCAGTTCGCCCCACAGACCTTCCAGCATTCCAGTTTCAAGCAAAAATCCTAATCTGAGCTGTGAGCGGGAGGAAAATGTGTTGCAGCATCTTGATCTTGAAATCAAGAAGTTCCTTTTATTTCCTTTTTTCATAGAGGCTACGGATGTGGCATCTTACGGACATTCCCGATTTGCAATTATCATTTCACAAATTGTCTCTCCTGGATGTAGATTTCTATCTTCACCTATTATGACCATTGCTGGTCATTGTATAAACTATTGTGTTTCATTTAAAAACCAAAGCACTTATCCCTCACAGTCTATAAACACCAGGTGGTTTATAAAATGAAAAGCCGACCCGCCTATGAACAATCACAGGGGTTTAAATATATAGCTGCAGTTGTGAAAGGCAACCTCAGTGACTCCATCCATCATGCTGTGCTTTACCAGCTGAAGGCTGAAGGTGTGACGAGAGGACTGGCATAGTGTGTCCACGTGTGCAAATTCAGGCTGTGGATGACTTACTGTTCTCGCTGCCCCGCGAGCGTGCGTGGCTCGGTGGCCCAGCTTCACCTGGCTGTCTAAGGTCGTGCTCACCAGAGATACATGGCACCAGCCCTAACTAAGCTTCAGTAAAGCCGTTTACTTCTCGCCTAGATGACACGAGCCGGACACAGCCAATCCGGCGTCGCAAAGTCAGAACCCATCTCTGGTTTTAGCCACCGCCGTTGTAGCCACCTGGCTGACTGAGTTTTTGCAACAACTTTGTGAACAGGTCTATACGATGCACAGCCGATGGAACCTAATTACAGTAGATTGAACAATACTTTTGTGTTTGCCTACAAAGCAATGTCAATTTAGCTGTTGAGTTCTGCTGTGAAACATTGGGGGAGCACACCCGCGCGCAAAGCACCACTTGAAGAAGAACGCTTGCCTGTAGGTGGGTTATGGACACAAGTGCGATGCAAATCGGCCCCATCAAAACATATTGTTTTCGTTTCATTTTTCAGGGAGATACCGTTGGCACGGAGCAGGCCAAAAACAGTCAAATGTGTTTTGGACAGTCAATTTTGTTTTGTGGGAGGTTGCAACTCCGCCTGCCCAGCATGATTCAATTTCATGGTGCAATGAAAACATGAACGCGCCATTTGGATTTGGCTAGAGATGGGTGTGATATGGTTTGATGGGTTTGTAGATTGGCGCAAAACTATTATCAGACGGTTTCCCATGACTTCCGGATGACCCTGAAGTCCCATGCCCGCACATCATCATCACCCAGCATTGTTTTCTTTTCATGGGCGGACCGAGGAATTGTACACCATTTGGCCACAAGTTGGTTTGGTTCATCCCCAAATTCCCAGACGGTTCTTCTCAGCACTGAGCGCAGGCGCTTGTGCGAACACCGGCAACGCATCGAGCAGCTCATGGCTTGTCAGGCGAGTGGGTCCAGTGTAGATGGATGAGGTGATCAAGTCCGATTTCGATCATCCAGAAGAGTCAGATGTTGCCCCTTTTTGTGAGCGGGCGAGTTTAATCAGCCTTCCACATTGGATGCAGTGGTGCAAATACATTGTAACACCTGGGGCCTGAAGGATCCACGGATTTAGAGGAAATCCACCTATCCTGTTTGGAAGCCACAGCCCACGGCCGTTTTCGTGGCCGAAACAGTTCGTACGGTCGCCTGAACACCCAATCCATCACCGCGTACGGTCGCCGTGTCGTCTGACTGCCGGTCTGTCTCAGTCCGACGGAGCTCCACCGGACCACGGTCCGGTTCGGGTCGTATCGGGTCGTACGGTGAACGGGTCGTACTGGTGCAGCTTGCAGGTCCAAAGGTTGCAACATATTGTGTCAACGGATGTGAACAAGCTCAACATGGAACGCATCATATGTGAACAAGTTTTTTTTTTTTACTAGCACCGGTTTTTAGCTTCATAAGTCTTTTTTACAACAGGAATCCTGCAATCAACTGGAACATCCACAAAGAACCATATGTTGATTTCGAAGCACCAATAAGACAAACAATCTCATATAGTCGAAGCATGTCGAAGCCAAGGGTGTCCTGCAGTATTCAGCAAAGCATTTGGATTTGACCCGGTGAGATTCCTCGCCCACCGAGTGGTACATGGTCTCCAAGTGAGGGACTCCCTGGGCAGCTTCCGAAGACCGGGTGTTTGTCCCCACACGAAGGACTGGGCATCGGGCGACACTGGTACCAGCGAATTGAAGGTCCCACTGCACAACCTGCAGTGTTCGCCATTTGGGTGTGTTTTGTTTGCGTTATTGTGTTTTTAAATCCTTATATATAATGGATCCACATACCCTACTATCGAGGGTGATGTGCTCCGCTCTTTTGTGTAGGCGAGTTGTGAGGGTCCAAGTTTTTACATTCTGAGAAGGTGGCAGTGAATCACTTGTTTTTTTTGGGTTGCGTGTTGCAACCACAAAAAAACTGATATATCATATAGTATGTCAATTTCCGTGTCAAAAGGAGTAAGCATATCACTAACCAGGAAAATGTGTTTCCTTCGACTTGTGATGCGAAATGGGTGCCCTCGACTCGTGCTCAGGTGGCGGGCCCACCGTTGGAGGTGCGGAGACCGGGTTTGGCTCAACGTGGTGGACTGGTCTGGCTCCACATGGGTGGGTCACGACCCCTCCCCGAAATTGACATGAAGTTGCCATATGACCCTCCGTTCTTTCCTTGGAGAACTCTTACACAGTAGCGAATGATGAAAGGAAAAGAGGAAGACTGAGCTAATTGACATACTTTGGGCATACTTTGGGCATGTCATGTGGCGGGCTGAAGAGTTCAGAGTTTCGCATGTTGGAATGGTCAATGGTGTTTCAGGGGAGAACTTGACGCATTTGATGTGCACGACCCGTTTGTGGGACGACCGACCCGTTTGTGGGACTTGCAAAGACACACCTATATATAGTAGATTCTAGATGAGTATATAGATGGTTTAGCCATGTTTAGCCAAGGTTTGTTGCAGAACATAGGAGATCGTCCAACTATCCACTGATATCCACTGTATTATGAGACCTGAGACAGAGAGTTTTTGTTCGGACATGGCAGATCACTTCGCTGAAGCATGCTGAAGCCTTGTTCCGGCCTTGTTCCGAGCTGGACAAGGTGATTCAGAATTCTGTATATAGTGGTATGGATAGTTTGGGTTTGTCCTATTGACTGTAACAGTCAGTAAACAATTGTCACTCTTTTTTTGTACAAGGCCTGGTACCTAACCATCCTCCACGGTAGATGAACCAGGTTTTCGAACGACCTAAGGCAGGATCGTGTGGTTGCTCTCCGTACACGAAAACCCACCCGACCGACCCGTCTCATCACATCTCATCCAACCGACGCGACGCGAGCGACGCGACGCGAGCTCGGTCAGGTGGCCTGGGAGAGTGACGCCACCATTGAGGCTGCCGGGGGGGAGCACGGGAGAATGGAGTAGAGGTGGTGCTTCAAGATCATACGACTAAGACGGAGGTGGCCACCCTGGAAAAACGATCCCATAATTACACTGGATGTATATATGAATATGCCTACATTGACCCCCAAACCACCCCAACTGATTGGCAAATATGGTAGCTTTATAGAGCGTTTGGGTACTATAGTGCCAAAGTGGCCACCCGGTTGCTGCGGCTGAGCATATACTCCAGCTGGCAGGCACAACCCGGTCAACGTCCGAAGTGCGGGTCGTAACATGGCAGCTGAGGTCACTTCTTTGGTGGACGCGTGAAGGGGTGTCATTTCCGGCAGAGCAAGGTTCTTGTCGCTGTAGCTCGTCTAACTGGTGGCTGGTGCAACTCATGGGTAACAAAGGATCTTTCCGAAAAGCGACCTGTGGGTTGGTGGATGTTGGGGCACTGCATGATCTAGATGCGGCGACCAGTTTCGACAAAAGCTTCGGGGCAAGAGACTTTGGCCGTCCCTTGGCATGATTTGGCGGTCTGTCTAGTTAGCTGGCGCTGAGGAATAAAGAGGCCACGAAGGAGCCCGGGGGTATCCATCTTCCCATCTCTTCCCCAAAACAAACAGCAGCCCAGCAGCGTATAGCGTGGGAGCGAACTCACAGGCGAGGACGCAAGCAGCCTTTGAGCCCGGAGTGCCCAGTAGAGGGGAGGGTCAGTGCCGATGGCCTTAGACAGAGAGCTGATGAGAAAGAATGGATAACAATGAAGGGATGGGACTTTAAATTAAAGACTCCCAAATATGGCGTTTTCCTAACAACATGAGGCTTCAATTGGGTTCTAGGATGTATATGGTGTGTATATAATAGCTGATAATTCTCACCTTAAATAGCAGCTTTTACCGTGCTTTTGGGCTCCATCACCTCTCACCACCGATTCGCCCAGCGCGCTTGGAGCCTGTCTCCTAGGCGAGATGAGGTGACGCAGCCAGAAGCCCACTCAGGCATGCTCGTCAGCGGCTTTGCCCACTCAGCTGTCTGTCTTGGAGTCTAGGGCTTGTCCCATTCCTCTGCATGTTGCAGACCCGTTTCGTTTCAGGCACTGCCTATGAGAGACGCTGGCAGCAAGCTGCAGTGGAGGAGGTGTGTTTTGCAGAGCGAATGCGCGAATGCCACGGGCATGCCACGGGAGTCGATCCGTTTGTGATGCCATCGACAGCTGCAGAACGGGCGCAGAACGGCCATCATGGTGAGCATCATATTAGAATCTGAACCACGTTAAGATTTGAAGGTCATATCAGCAACACCCCAATATCATCCAATATCATAATGATGCACTTCTGCCAAGAAGTTGGATTTTTGTTCGATCGATATGATCGTACCCCACCTGTGCAAGACTCCTAGGTGGCTGTCGAGCAGGATGACTCACAGTAATACCGTATTATAGTTATTAATGCCACAAAATATAATTCCCTCCCTTGCAAGCGACAGCGACTCCTCAGCGTCTCGTGCCAAGTCGGTGCAGTGATCCACTCGTGGGATGAGGACATGTGATTCTCACTAAACTCTGCCGAATTGGTTCCATGTTTGTCGAAAAATCTTCAGCATCGAAAAATCTTAAACTATCTTAAACTTTTATCTCGAACTCGTGCCAGATGCGATTTCACACCATAAAATCCGTTGGCCTTCCCCCAAAGCATCATCCCCTGGGACTCATCGTGTTTGTTTCACTCATCGTCAGCACTCGTTTCCAACTCCATCAACTCGACCGTCCACACGCCGCAGCCGTCTGACACGGTCGACCGCGCGCACCGAGGTCTCTGGCCTCGCGGCGACGCCCACCTTCGACCCGGTGCCGCGGCGCGACTTCGCCCGGCGTGTGCCGCTCACGGGCGCGTGGCTGAGCCCAGCAGAGCGGCGGTGCCGAACGTCGTCGATGGGTCGAGGAGGTCACGTAGGTCGTCGGGGCGAGAACGACCACGTGAGGGGGATCTTTGTTCGGGTGAAACTGTGTGAAAGACAATGTGTTTGGGGTTTCTGTGGGTGTTTGTTGTGAAAACCGATGAGACGTGCCCGAGGGTGTCCTGAAGAATCCATGAAGCAGTGGCAGGTGCTTATCAATGTTCATATCAATTTTATTATTTTAATTTCATTTATATTCTATATTTAATTGATATTGTTTGTTTTTGTTCAACATGGTTTTGTCCTAACAGAGACTCAGCAGTGAAGTAGGTCTTACTCACCAGAGGGCGAACCACCGACCGGTCCTGGGGACCTCACCCGGTCCGCGGATCTACTCCCGAGCCCATTGAACTACCCACCACGTTTTCACACACGTAAGGCCTGACGTACGTCGTGCTATGCCAATCCCCATTCTGAAGTGTTTGGGCAAACAGACATGGGTGCCCTATTCCATGTAGTATAAAGGGCTTGACAGCGAGAAGCAGCCGCGTCTCGATCTGTCTCGATCCGTCTCGAGACCGCGACGTCCGAGGCTTGAGTCTCCAGAGACACGCCTGGAGCTCAGCTTTTTGCACCGCTGGGCGCCGGCACCGACGCGTGACGCGTGACTGGTCTGAAAGAGCAGGTCGGTGGCCAAGGGAGTCATGACCACACCGAAAGAAAAGGAAGGTCGTCCCCCCCAAAAGAGTCACGGAGGTATACCAGAATACACACCATACAACTCTGAGAAAGCCGCCCAAATACAATCCATCTTCAAAGTGACCCCTGGCTATCCTCCAAGTGACCAAACCAACTGGGGACCGAGCTTGTTCAGTCACCTTGCCGAACACTGAGATTGGAAATGGAACTGGGAACGCTTGTCCAAAGGACGTTGACACCATCCCAGATGGGCTCCAGGTTGACATACCTCCGTTCCGTTCCGGTGGAACTAGGGTGTGTGCCAGGAGGGTCGTTTGGCGAATGTAGACTCCTGATTGTTCTTTTGACCCTCCCATTTGGATTGCGAACCTTTAAACCAAATTCAAGAGGGTCCAGTGAAAGCACAAAAACATCATCACCTTAAGAGATGGTGAATCCAGCTTCATCAGAGAGATCTACATTTCACCACAGATGGTTTCGATTCACCCAAAGAGATCTACATGTCCACTGAAAACCTTCCGAGACGTAGGTTGTGCTCCCTCGTTTCGCCTCCCCGCGTTTCGGCTCCCTGAGGGCCGGATCCCCGTGCCTCTCGGCTGTAACCCGCGCTGGCACAGACGGATGTGGAGCGTGAACCCAGACTCACCCAGACTCTCCCAGTATAGGCGAAGATCGGCGATTCGGGTCTTTTTTGGAGCATCTCATCTCTATATTTTTCAAGGGTTGCGGGATCAATTTGTGTAGTGTAGCCACCCAGACGCTCCGTTCAGTTCTGCAGGGTCCCTGAAAAATTATGGGGGATTGGTTCGGGGCCGGACACCTCCAAAGGATTCGGGTCCGGCCGCTAACTGAACGGAGGATCCAGGGGCGTTTGGGCATGATGAGCCATGTGAACCAATGTGGATCACTTGACCTGGATTGGAACATGTTGGAACCATCATAAAGCATGGAAGTGGATGAACCTTGTGTCCTGGGACACCTCGTCAAGGACCATGTTGGACAAATCATGAACATTCATGAACATTTTGTATACTGTTATGTAAACCACTTAGGCTATCTCTGAGGGTTTTGCTAAATACCGGGTCCGGCGAACAGTATACTGTTTGATAGTCGGATAGAGGATGATAGAGGGATATAGACGGGTACCGGTATTCATGCTTCAGCATGGACTTCGGGGGGGAGTGAGGTGACGGAGCCGTTGGATTCCTTTGAAACGGTTTGAGGATAATTTAAGGGACATCTACAGGATCCCCATGGATACCCATAGTATCCCATAATATCCCATAGTATTGGGGGGTGAACACATGTGAAAACCATGGGTTTCCAGGAAATCCTGTAGATGCTCCCTGAAACCACTCTTTGCATTTATTTGGGTGAAACATTAACTTGTATTTAGTCGACGACTGGCTTTCCTGCAAGTCAGGACAGTCGGGGACTTGGTCCGCCAACCTGAGCAATTGAGGGTCGTTGAGGTTCATCCAGATACCCTGGATTGCGAGCAATTTCCCCTTGATCAGAAGCTTAGGGGATGAAGTTTGGATTCCTTGGCGCTAAGAGATGGCGTGGAGTCAAGTAACAGCCAAAGCCTAGATCATCCTAGATCCATTGGAAACGGATTTTGGGTTGAATTGCCATTCGCAAATTACTATGTGGCTTGCACTAATGGTCGACTTTTGTCACTCAGGCTGCCATCAAGGGACTACTGGGTGGACAGAGCGAGAGCACTCTTCAAGTTTGCTTCTGGATGTTGCGTTTGAGTCTTCATTCTATACATTCCCTGACATCACCAGCGGATAATTGCCAGTCAAAATCAGATCCAGGGAATCTAACTCTACTGACTCTCCTTCTTGAGTCATATTTGAGAACCATTGGGATGGACTTTTTTTTCATGGACTGGTGGTCAATCGCACATAAAGTCGGACCCATGAAAGCATGGAAGTCAACACCCCTGTTCATCCCGCTCAAAAAAAGAAGGCACCGGAGAAAGAACGTCTCCATCCGTGTTTGCAGAAGAAGTGGCTCAAGGTTTTGTTGTTGGCCTTGCAAAAGCAGTTCAGTAGTCTTTGAGGCATCCAGTCATCAAAACAGAGGGCTTCTCATCCGCAATCCCAGCAGCCGATCCTGGAAAGTCCAGGTGCAAGTCATACAGCGTTGAGGGCATTATAGTAGTTGGAGAAGCTGATTTAACATATCTACACAATCGACACCCTGAAAGATCTACATGTCAGCCTGCACTTTTGCAAAGAACCTATACCCTCCCGGTTCAGCGCTACGTGACGGGCATGCTCGACATGCGTACCTCAGTTCCTCAGATTCGACAGCCAGTTTGGCCCTGTGTTCTAAAGCCTCGCAGCTGCGATGACGACTGCGGAGGAGTTCAAAGAAAAGGGTGCCTGGAAGATGTTGGACTTGCGGACTCGCTTTTTGAAAAGAAAACGAAGCGCAAGGTGACCTGAGCAGAGAGCAAGTGGGAGGCTAGGATCAACAATGTTGGCCAATGAACATCACCCTTGACCATGTGGGTACAGGTACAGTAGGTCAGCGTCCAAAAGCACTGCACCCACTGAGTTGGTCAAGAAAACGACGGGATCTTGGATTCCTCTACAGATCTCTATAGCAAAAGCAAGGTACGAATGAACAGCAACTTCACGGGCAGGTATCACTCTAACTAGGATTCCCCAGAACTTTGAGTCTTGCTCCAGAACACCGACCAAGTCTAGCATCCCCGGAGAAGAATTCAGTTTGGCTTTTTACAGGTGCCTGAAAGGCCTGAAAGGGGTAGACAAGGAAAGACACAGATCGTTTTCATTCGCCTTGTTTTGGAATGTTGCTCTTCCATGCTCTTCCAAGTCTCTGCTTCTGGAGAAATGATTCAGAGCCTGGCCTCATGTTTTAACATGGGCCCATCTAGGCAATTGTGACTCCGGCCGAACGGCCTTCGATCTAACAGACGTAACGTATACGAAATTGGATCACCACCTGTGTCAGGGCTTTGGACCTCACCCTGCACCCGGCCGTGGATGGTCCGGTCAACGCAGAACGCAGCGAGTTCGCAGCGCTAACCGATGCGAGCCGGCACCGGCTGCCGAGGGAACGAGCACTTCAAGCGGCAGGAGTTCGCCTTGGCGGTGGACGCCTACAACCGTGCCATCGAATTGAATCCCGAGGACCCGAGCCGAACCGCAGCCGAGCAGCTGCAAACCGCGCGGAGTCGAAGAGCCCGTGGAGCTGAGCCGGTGAAACTGCGGAAACTGGGGAGGCTTCCAAGCAGACGGTTTCAGCATGGGGAGGCTTCCAAAATTCATTGCTAGATTTGGGGTTTTAGAACAGGGAGGTCATTTGATAACGCTTATTTGGGGGCAAATACTGCATACATATTTATTGTGTATTGTTATATGTTTGTTTCTTTGATTCCTGATAGCTGGTTTGTTTCATGCGAGCTGATGCATGAGTCACTGCCAAACAAACGCACTTATGTAGAGTCCACACATACATACTGCCAAGACATGTACAGGTAAAGTAGATTCCTTCAAGAGCTACGCTGGATCAAAGAGTGGCTTGCAGCGGTGTCCAAGTGCTAGGAGTATCGAGTCCTTTTTGGGGCCAAACATGTCAGAACCGTCGCGATTCGCCAGCGAGGTGGGTTGGGACGGAGCAATTCCAAGTATTTTTTGCGATTCCACTGAATTCCATTGGACGGAGAAACCAGAAACCCACATGCGGGTGTTGACCACTGTGAGGATGCAGTTGACCACTGGTGTTCACTTACATGGCCAGGTCCATGTTGGGAAAGCTTTGGCACATCCTGCCCGAACAGGCACTGCAAGGAAAACAGTTAAATATAGAGCCCTCATGAGCCCTCCCTCAGTACTTGATTCTTTGTCACGTTTGTCAGCACTAGTGTGGTCTGAGTCTACTGTGCAGACCAGTCATCTCTTATATACAAGATGGCTTGAACGCTCGGTGATCCGCCCATCCGAGTCTACTCGCCCAGACCTCACGCTGTCTGAGCTTGCGGATCGCCGCTCGCATCCTCCGCTCGGTGCCAGGAGTGTGCCTTTTGGCTGAACCGCTCCAATGCATATCGTCAACAAGGCCGTGCGGTGCACCCAGACCGGTGCGGGCCGGTGCGGAGCGTACAGCTCCGCCAGCTCCGCCCTGGCGCTCAAACAGGGAGACCGACACCCGGCGATGAGCCCCCAAACTGTGCAGCTTTCGGGTGGTCAAGTGGTTTTTATAAGGACGTGTCTCACACCGAGCACCAACTCTGGGGGTTCATTGTTTTTGTTTGGTTGTTCTTTTTCCAACGGTACGTTACGGTCTATTTCTTGGGTTATTCATGGTTATTCTGGTTCTTTGGGTTGCACGTTGCAACCTAAAACGGATTATAACCTGACATCATGAATCATGAACTTCATTTCCATGCAAAAAGGAGCTAAGCGTGTAACTAACCAACCAAGCCACGTGGCAGAGATAGACCCACCCAGGCCCGGGGCCAGTCAGGCCAGTGCCTGAAGGTCGAGAATGGGGTTCCGACTCACTCTATTGAACCTGTAAGAAGAGTGCCACATAGTGCCACTCATTCTATTGACTACCTAAGGTGCTACCAGTATAGTGCCTATTGGAGGATTGCCCACTCACTCAGGAACTAAAAACCATCCCTTTTGTGCCTGGGTCACTCCCGGCAGTGCGCCTGGACGTCTTCAGCAACCTCTTTTTTTTCGCGCCCAATCAGGCTGGGACCTCGCTGAAGCCGATGCCCAGCAGGCCTTGACCTTGTCACCTGGAAATGCCAAGGCGCTCTTGGTCAAAGACCTCTGGGGTGGATGGGTGGAGGAGTACAGGGTGGGCGTGGAGAGCTCGGCATCCTGGCGTCCTGGGGGATGGCGATGGATGGTGGGGACCAGCAGCGCTGCAGGGGGCAGCCAACGTTGGTGAAGAGTGTGCACAGTCTGCTTTTCGTCCGCATCCTGCAACTTTCTAGTGCATTGGCCGCACTGGCAAACTCATGCAAGCTCCTTTTTTTGTGTTCCCCGGACCTGTCAATTCTGTTCCCTGAACACCCCTGAACCTTATACAGCGCAAAAAGCAACAGCGGCCTTCCACAAACAACAGCTTTCGCTCCTGCGTGCTGCATGCTGAAACAGCGCCCGGACGCGTCGCCGCCGTGACAGATTCGCCTCGTCCGAACCGGTCGGCGGTCAGAGGCTCTCTATGGCTCAGCGATGTGTCTCAAAAAGCTGGATCGGCTGCCGGACGCTCTCCTGCGCTGCCAGGAGCAGAGAGAGAGAGAGAGAGCTTTCGACGTGATGTTTGATGCGACAGTTTTTGCGTTCAACGTGGATGGGTGGACAGATGTAATGTAATTATGTTTCAAATTAATGTCCGTCTCCCTATTCTTATCACATTCGAATGCGGGTGGCCACTCCCAGATCATAAGGGTTCCCTGCCACAGTATGCTTGCCATGAGGCGGTTATTGCCACATTAGCGGACCCTTCCCTCGCACCCCAAGTAGTGGACAACCGCGGGAAACGTGCATTGATTTTTCCATGATTATCATTTGATGAGGCAAATCCCACACTTGCA